ATGCAAATAACTTATATGGCAAGGCCATGACTCAGTGTTTGTCTTTTGATGCAAATAACTTATATGGCTAGGCCATGTCTCGATGTTTGTATCTATATGCAAATAACTTGTATGGCAAGGCCATGTCGCGATGTTTGTCTCTAGATGCAAATAACTTATATGGCTAGGCCATGTCTCGATGTTTGTCTCTAGATGCAAATAACTTATATGGCTATTCCATGTCTCGATGTGTGTCTCTAGATGCAAATAACTTATATGGCTAGACCATGCCTCGATGTTTGTCTCTAGATGCAAATAACTTATATGGCTATTCCATGTCTCGATGATTGTCTCTAGATGCAAATAACTTGTATGGCAAGGCCATGTCTCGATGTTTGTCTCTAGATGCAAATAACTTGTATGGCAAGGCCATGTCTCGATGTTTGTCTCTAGATGCAAATAACTTATATGGCTAGGCCATTCCTCGATGTTTGTCTCTAGATGCAAATAACTTATATGGCTAGACCATGTCTCGATGTTTGTCTCTAGATGCAAATAACTTATATGGCTATTCCATGTCTCGATGATTGTCTCTAGATGCAAATAACTTATATGGGTAGGCCATTCCTCAATGTTTGTCTCTAGACGCAAATAACTTATATGGCTAGGCCATGTCTCGATGTTTGTCTCTAGATGCAAATAATTTGTATGGCAAGGCCATGTCTCGATGTTTGTCTCTAGATGCAAATAACTTGTATGGCAAGGCCATGTCTCGATGTTTGTCTCTAGATGCAAATAACTTGTATGGCAAGGCCATGTCTCGATGTTTGTCTCTAGATGCAAATAACTTATATGGCTCGATGTTTGTCTCTAGATGCAAATAACTCATATGGCAAGGCCATGACTCAGTGTTTGTCTCTTGATGCAAATAACTTATATGGCAAGGCCATGACTCAGTGTTTGTCTTTTGATGCAAATAACTTATATGGCTAGGCCATGTCTCGATGTTTGTATCTATATGCAAATAACTTGTATGGCAAGGCCATGTCGCGATGTTTGTCTCTAGATGCAAATAACTTATATGGCTAGGCCATGTCTCGATGTTTGTCTCTAGATGTAAATAACTTATATGGCTATTCCATGTCTCGATGTGTGTCTCTAGATGCAAATAACTTATATGGCTAGACCATGTCTCGATGTTTGTCTCTAGATGCAAATAACTTATATGGCTATTCCATGTCTCGATGATTGTCTCTAGATGCAAATAACTTATATGGCTAGGCCATTCCTCGATGTTTGTCTCTAGATGCAAATAACTTATATGGCTAGGCCATGTCTCGATGTTTGTCTCTAGATGCAAATAGCTTGTATGGCAAGGCCATGTCTCGATGTTTGTCTCTAGATGCAAATAACTTGTATGGCAAGGCCATGTCTCGATGTTTGTCTCTAGATGCAAATAACTTTTATGGCTAGGCCATGTCTCGATGTTTGTCTCTAGATGCAAATAACTTATATGGCTCGATGTTTGTCTCTAGATGCAAATAACTTGTATGGCAAGGCCATGTCTCGATGTTTGTCTCTAGATGCAAATAACTTATATGGCTAGGCCATTCCTCGATGTTTGTCTCTAGATGCAAATAACTTATATGGCTAGACCATGTCTCGATGTTTGTCTCTAGATGCAAATAACTTATATGGCTATTCCATGTCTCGATGATTGTCTCTAGATGCAAATAACTTATATGGGTAGGCCATTCCTCAATGTTTGTCTCTAGACGCAAATAACTTATATGGCTAGGCCATGTCTCGATGTTTGTCTCTAGATGCAAATAATTTGTATGGCAAGGCCATGTCTCGATGTTTGTCTCTAGATGCAAATAACTTGTATGGCAAGGCCATGTCTCGATGTTTGTCTCTAGATGCAAATAACTTGTATGGCAAGGCCATGTCTCGATGTTTGTCTCTAGATGCAAATAACTTATATGGCTAGGCCATGTCTCGATGTTTGTCTCTAGATGCAAATAACTTATATGGCTATTCCATGTCTCGATGTGTGTCTCTAGATGCAAATAACTTATATGGCTAGACCATGTCTCGATGTTTGTCTCTAGATGCAAATAACTTATATGGCTATTCCATGTCTCGATGATTGTCTCTAGATGCAAATAACTTATATGGCTAGGCCATTCCTCGATGTTTGTCTCTAGATGCAAATAACTTATATGGCTAGGCCATGTCTCGATGTTTGTCTCTAGATGCAAATAGCTTGTATGGCAAGGCCATGTCTCGATGTTTGTCTCTAGATGCAAATAACTTGTATGGCAAGGCCATGTCTCGATGTTTGTCTCTAGATGCAAATAACTTATATGGCTAGGCCATGTCTCGATGTTTGTCTCTAGATGCAAATAACTTATATGGCTCGATGTTTGTCTCTAGATGCAAATAACTCATATGGCAAGGCCATGACTCAGTGTTTGTCTCTTGATGCAAATAACTTATATGGCAAGGCCATGTCTCAGTGTTTGTCTCTTGATGCAAATAACTTATATGGCTAGGCCATGTCTCGATGTTTGTCTCTAGATGCAAATAACTTGTATGGCAAGGCCATGTCTCGATGTTTGTCTCTAGATGCAAATAACTTATATGGCTAGGCCATGTCTCGATGTTTGTCTCTAGATGCAAATAACTTATATGGCTAGGCCATGTCTCGATGTTTGTCTCGAGATGCAAATAACTTATATGGCTTGATGTTTGTCTCTAGATGCAAATAACTTATATGGCAAGGCCATGACTCAGTGTTTGTCTCTTGATGCAAATAACTTATATGGCAAGGCCATGACTCAGTGTTTGTCTTTTGATGCAAACAACTTATATGGCAAGGCCATGACTCAGTGTTTGTCTTTTGATGCAAATAACTTATATGGCAAGGCCATGACTCAGTGTTTGTCTCTTGATCTAAATAACTTATATGGCAAAGCCATTTCTCAATTGAATTTGAAACAGTATGATTTAAATTGACATTCTGTTAATTACGTTTTTTTTACCTGCCCTTATGACAGTGTGTATCTGGATCCGGATCCGAATTTTTCAAGATCCGGATCCGGATCCGGTACCGACATTTTCTTGGATCCGCCCATCACTAGTTATTTATATTGTACTTTTTTCCTCTTCTGCTTACAAAGTATTTGTTTTGATATTTATTTCCTTATTAAGAAATATTTGAATTATTTACTGGTTTGTAATTGGATTTTATCTCTTAATTAAGATTCAGGGTAACCTTCAAGATGAAGTTCACTACCTTTGAACGACAGAGCAAATTAATTCTGAATCGCCTTAAGAAAATTAAGGATCGTGTCTCCACTTTGGTATCTGATGATATAGGGAGTGATGCTCTTGAGGAATTGGAGCAATATGCTGAAGAAGCAAGCATTAGGTACTCAGAGTTTGATAAATATATTACTCGCTTGACTTCTACTGATTCTATACCTGACTTTGATGCTGAGGCAGTTGAGAAAGTTTAGGATGATATCAGTGACTTATTTATTCAGATTAAAGTGATTGTGAAACTGTTCTATTTCTTATACAAGAATATTATTCACACATCTTGCTTCAACAAACTATTTCCAAACTCAACCAATGTTTACAAAAACATGTTTGCAAAGATCATCTGACAACAAAACATATTTAAACACAAATAAATCATATGATAAAAAGAACAGACTTAATACAACATCCCGCCTCAAGATGTCCACATCTTTATGAACCTCAGTACCGCCTCGGTTTCTTAATGGACCTTCCGTAACGGGTTCTGTGCCAGCTCCTGGACAATCACGTGAGTTGCATGGACGATTAAGGACCATGGATGAACAGATTGAAAGAATACCATCTCCTCCGTAGTACGGTGCAGGAACTAAGAACTTCCTGTTTTGGCGAATGGTTCTCTTGTCAGTTTCCACAAGGTAGGAACGTGGTTCGTTCAATTTCCTGACTACCTTACCGTGTCGACGTAGATCTGTGATCCATACCATGCTTCCAACTTCTAATTCACTCAAACCACTCGCTCCATGTCGTTTATCAAATTGTATCTTGTACTTATTCTGGTACTTATGGTATTCTGGAGTTGGTAACGTCAGATTTATCATCGGAGTAGGAGTACACATTACTGCATTATTTTCTCGGTTTGTCTGTCCCAATGCAAAACCTAGTGACTCACCTTCAGTCTTTCTAGAATCCCTTTCTGACATGTAGTTGAATTCACTTTGGGCATCGTTCTCCTCAATGTCCTCATACCTTTGCCTACGAGTATTTCGTTTTTTTCTGCCCTTAATTGACATTATGCGTGGTTTTAAACTTTGTTCGATAAAAAATCCACTAAGCTGCCACCATGTTCTATTTCTTATACAAGAATATTATTCACACATCTTGCTTCAACAAACTCTATTTCCAAACTCAACCAATGTTTACAAAAACATGTTTACAAAGATCATCTGACAACAAAACATATTTAAACACAAATAAATCATATGATAAAAAGAACAGACTTAATACAACAGAAACCATATCAGAAGGAGTCCACTTCTACTCCTGCTCATGCAAATACTTCGCCTTCTAAGACTCTAAAGTTACCTCCACTCACTTTAAAAGCGTTTAGTGGGTTACCCGACCAATGGTTGTTATTTCAAAGTTTGTTTGAAGCTTCTATTCACAAAAATGGTAAATTAAATGATACTGAAAAGTTCCAGTATTTGATTACCTCTCTTGAAGGGGAACCATTGAATTTGATTAAAAATCTGCCAATTACAGCAGAGAATTACATGGTCGCCTGGGAGTTGCTAAAAAATAGGTATCAAAATAACAAGAGAATGATCATTCATTATGTTAATAACCTAATTGACCTCTCTAACATAACTAGTGGTAATAGTAAAGCCATTAGAACCTTTTTATCTAAGTTTCAGGAAAACACTCAGGCTTTGGAAGCTCTTAAACATGAGGTAAGAAAAAACGATATAATCTTGTCTACTATGTTGTTGCGTAAGCTAGATGGAGAGCTACGCAAAAAATTTGAGGATGGTAGAGAAGACAGTCAGAAAATCCCCTCAGTAGAAGAAATCATGTCATTTTTAGAAGATGAACGTACTCATATGGAAGCTGCTAATCTTTCTAGTCTAAGGATATCCTCTGCCCCCCACTCTAACGTCAAATCAAACTCTGATTATTCTAAGGTAACTAATAAGCCTCGTACAGTTCTGCTATCTGCCCCCGGGTTACCTCAGAATCCCAGGTGTGCTTTTTGTAACAAAAGTGGTCATGTGATCTATAGGTGTACTGACTTTCAAGCTATGACTCCCTCCTCTAAATTTGAGTTCATAAAAAAGAAACACTTCTGTTTCAATTGTCTTGGCACAGCTCACAGCTCAAATGATTGTAAATCAAAACGTTCATGCTTTCATTGCGGTAAGAAACACCACTCATGGCTGCATTTATCAAATCGCTCCACACCAACCAGTACGCTAACCCCCCTTCCCTCTCAGCAAGTGAAAAGGAATGTAGTTGACACAAATCTCTCAGTGTCAGCCTCAGATAAGGAAAAACATCCAGTGGTTGTGTTTTCTCAAAGTAATGTTGTCAAGTCTTCAACAGTACTATTAGGCACTACCCTTGTGTATGTTAGTAACAAAGATGGCCATTCTCTGGTTTTAAGAGCTGTACTAGACTCTGGCTCTATGATTTCATGTTTGACTGAAAATGCAGCTAATCTCTTGTCCTTAAATAGATGGCATAATGGACATAGTTATGTAGATGGCCTCTCTTCCTCTCACATCAGTACCAAAGGTGCTTCAAAGGTAAATATCTCTTCTCTCAATGGTACAGACATTGTGAAGAACCATCCTGTGGTTATATTGGATAGGATAACTTCGGATCTTCCTCAAGCTCGAATATCAGCAGCGTTCAAGAATAAGTTGAAGCACCTAGTTCTAGCAGACCCTACTTTTGACCTACCAAGCTCTGTGGATATGTTGTTAGGAGCTGACTTGTTTTGTAGGATTGTAACGGAGGATCACGTGACATTTGGAGACAACATGCCTATGGCAATGAACTCTGTGTTTGGTTATCTAATTGTAGGACCCACTCCCCTAGAAAGAACCCCATGTAAGGAGGGGACTTTATCTTTACTCACAACTCATGAAGTTGATCTGCATCGTTCCCTACAACGATTTTGGCTGTTAGAAGAACCTCCGCTAAAAATAAAACCCTCTCCTGAAGATGATCTATGTGAACAGTTGTTTTTAGCTCACCATTCCAGAGACTCTAAAGGTCGCTACACGATCCGACTACCCTTCAGGGAGGCACCCGCTCCCCTAGGCAACTGCTCAGAAAATGCAAAACGTAGATTTCTTTCACTGGAAAAACGCTTGAACGCAAATCCTGAACTAAAAACAGATTATGTGAAATGTATGAATGATTATATGGAATCTGGTCACATGGAGATAGTGACCCAGGACAGACTTGATGAATCTCAACATTTTTTCTTGCCCCATCATGCTGTAGTTAAAAATGAATCATCGTCTACAAAGCTCAGAGTTGTCTTCAATGCTAGCGCCCCCTCCTCTACAGGGATTTCTCTCAACCAGACGTTTTTATCTGGGCCAAAGCTGCAAAATAAAATTTGTGACATTCTTATTAATTTCAGACTACATCCTATTGTAATGTCCTGTGACATCAAGCAAATGTTTAGACAGATTAAAATGCACCCTGAAGATCAAAACTTTCAGCTTCTCTACTGGAGGAAGGATTCATCGCTCCCCCTGAGTATCTATCGATTAACAACTGTTGTTTTCGGCTTTGTGAGTTCCCCATTTTTGGCAATACGAACATTGAAACAACTTGTCCTAGATGAAGGTCAAAACTATCCATTGGCATCCAAAGTGATGGAAAAACAGGTTTACGTTGATGATTTAATATTTGGAGTCGACTCACCAGATGAAGCTCGAACTACGCAGAAAGAAATTATTGATCTTCTGTCAAAAGGTGGTTTTGATTTGAGAAAGTGGGTTTGTAACCGATCCAAACTAATAAGCGACATACCTGAATCTTACAAGGAAAAGCCTATATGTATTTCCAAGGTCCAGACAATCCTTTATGCAGTATCCTAGGCATAAAATGGGAGTCAGAGAATGATCACTTTTCTTACAGGCTTGATATCCCGGAGAAGCCCCTTACCAAGCGAAACATCCTCTCAGCCGTTGCTCAAATTTTTGACCCTTGTGGATATCTTGCTCCTACCATCTTCTGGACCAAAGCCCTCTTACAACTTCTTTGGACTCTAGGACTGAAATGGGATGAACCCATTCCTACTGATGTTGCAGAAAAATGGAACAAGTTTTATGACCAACTCCCTCAACTGAGAAATATTTTCATGCCTCGATATGTACACCTGAATGATGCCGTAGATGTACAGTTACACGGTTTCTCAGACGGTTCCGAAGCAGGTTATACCAGTTGTCTACATCCGAACTGTCTCAGCAGATAATGATATCAGAGTGTCCTTGCTTATCGCCAAATCACGTGTAACTCCTCTCAAAAGGATATCCATTCCTCGCCTGGAGCTTTGTGGAGCACATCTGCTGGAGGAATTGTTGAACTACTCGTCCAACCTAATCTCTCAAAGATGTGAAATCAACTCAATTTTCGCTTGGACAGACTCAACGGTTGTATTATCTTGGATACTGTTCTATTTCTTATTTGAATAAAAATTAAAAGATCAAAAGAAACTAAACTGTTTTAATCAAGAAACTAATACAAGACAATATTATTAAAGAAAGTAAATAAAATCATATGGTTAAATATTATAACCATAGAGGTTAAACATCTTTCCCTTTGAGTTTCTTTTCAGAGTTTAGTCAGGAAAACGTTTCGTAGGTCTTATAATTCTGCCTCTTGATGATTGTTTTATTGCAGCTTCTTGATTGGGAGTAGTTGATCGTGAAAAAGGTTTACTTTTATCTTGAGTTATTCTAGATGGTGTAGTAGTTGTTCTTTCAGCAGTATTTGATAGGGAAGAGTTGTTTTGAGTAACAGTAGTAAATGGTAGAGGATCTGACGTTGTATCTTTGATGGATAAAGGAATAGGATTGTTCGGTTTGGTTGTATTACCTTTGTAAGGCAAAAGGTGGTGTCGATTCCTTCTCAACGTAGTGTTTCCTGTCTTAACCCAGTATGACCTTGGCTCTTGTCCTAAGCTGATAATAATACCCTCTCTTTTTAGGTCTTGGATCCATACTTTTTTACCTACAGGCAGCGATGGAAGTTCTTTTGTAGCGTAGCGCCTATCGTAGTTTCTCTTGTAAGATGCTCTGTAAGTATCTTCTTTTTCCTTTAGTTGAGAGAGATCGGGTTTGATTTCAAGTTTTTTAGGTAAAACAGGCAAGTTATCTCGCAGTGATCTGTTGTATATTAGCTGAGCAGGACTGTATCCACTTGTGGATAGAGGTGTATTGCGGTAGGTTAGGAGGGCTAAATATGGGTCGTCTTTGTTTTTCTTTAGTACACTCTTCGCTATTTTGACTGCAGCTTCAGCTGCACCGTTACCTTGGTGGTAGCTTGGACTGCTCGTCACAAGTTTAAAGTTATAGCTTTGAGCAAACTTTTTGAATTCAGAGTTTTCAAGACCAGTGTATCTGGTAGCAAACTGTGTATCACAATCAGATCGTAGCTCAATTGGTATACCGTGACGGCACAATACAGATTTGCATTTTTCGATTATTTCAGCAGTTGACAGGTTCTTTAATGTAGCTATTTCAAAATAACGTGAAAAACAGTCAGTGATTACTACGAACCATGTTCCTTCAAGTTTAAAGAGATCAATCGCTGCCTTTTCCCAAGGACGAGATGGAAGCTCACTGGGCAAAAGGGCTTCATGATGTTGTGTTCTATGTTCAGTACATTTGGGACAATCATTAACAAATTTCTCAATGTCAAGTGACATTCCTGGCCACCACATACTATTGTTGGCTCTAAGTCGACATTTCGTTACGCCTAGATGGCCTGTATGTGTTCTTGTTAACATTTCTTGTCTAAGAGTTGTCGGGATTATGAGACGTTCTTCTCTAAGCAATAGTCCGTCACAAAAAGAGATTTCATCCCGAACTGTGAAGTATGGCTTAAGATTATCGGGAATCTTAGTTTTATCAGGCCATTCAGTTGAGCAGTAAGATTTAATTACCCTGAGTTCTGAGCTAGCCCGCTGTGCCGATGCAATTCTATCAAGAACCATGTCAGTTACATAGGCAATGTTTCTTGTTACTGTGTGGATGGCCAGTTCAACTTCCTCATCTAAATCATAACTCTCATTAGCTGCTACAGGACTTCTTGAGAGACAATCAGCAGTGGCTAAATGTTTGCCAGGAGTGTATGTCACATTGTAGGAATATCTCATCAGACGAAGTCTTAGTCTTTGAAGACGGGGAGTCATATCATTGATCTCTTTAGTAGTCAAAAAAATACTTACCAAAGGTTTGTGATCTGTTTCTAGCGTGATGTGCTTGCCCACAATGTAGTCTTTAAACTTGTCACAGCTCCATGTTAATGATAGAGCTTCTCGTTCAATGTTAGAGTAGTTTCGTTCGGTTTCACTCAGAGTGCGTGAAAATATAAGAAATAGGCTTCCAATTCCCATCTGATTGTTGTTGTAAAAGTACTCCACCCAGGCTTTGTGTAGAAGAGTCAGCAGAAATCATAGTCGGTTTATTTTTATCATAGAATGCAAGTTGAGGTGGAGAAGCCAATAATTCTTTCAATTCATCGAATGCTTTTTGTTGTTCACAACCCCAACACCATTCGTTTTTTCTACCTAGTAGGTCGGTAATGGGTTTTAGTTTTAGTAACCGGCTTTTGTTAGGTATGTATTTGCCAATGAAGTTCACCATACCAAGTAACCTTTGAACTCCTAAAATATCTGTTGGAGGAGCCATTTTTCGTAAAATGAAATGAAAATCATATAAAGTTTAACTTTATACCTCCAGCAGCACCTCACCAGGGAGGAATATGGGAGAGAACAGTACAAAGCGTCAAATACCACTTACGACGTGTTATTGGAGAACAACTCCTCAACTTTGAAGAATTTCTCACCTTATCTACAAAGATAGAAGCAATACTCAACTCTAGGCCCATCACTGCCCTCTCCTCAGACCCTGCTGAAGTTGATTACCTCACACCAGGACACTTCCTCATTGGAAGCCCTCTACTTGCACTTCCTGAGCCCACATGGGAAGAAGTTCGAAGCAATAGACTCTCAAGATGGCAGCTTGTCCAAGCTATGTCTCAGAATTTCTGGAAGAGGTGGCAGAAAGACTATCTCCATACCCTGCAGAGAAGAGGAAAATGGACACTTCCCCAAGTAAATATAAAGGAAGGTGATCTTGTATTAATCCACGAAGAAATTTCTCCTCCCCTCTCCTGGAGGACAGGCCGTGTCACCACAACTTCCCCTGGACCTGACGGACTCGTTCGGGTTGTACATCTTCATACCAACAAAGGACCTCTAACAAGGGCTGTCACTAAGGTGTCTCCCTTCCCAATTGAAGAGTAGTTTCAAGTCTTCATCATCCTCCACCTCTTGTAAAATGTTAAGTTTTTTGTTCTTTTGTGAACCCCATTGTGGTTCACGGGTGGGGGTATGTTGGATATTTAACTACAATATGTAAAGTTTAAAAGGTTTTTATTTTTATTTGCACATTGCAGGGTATTTTATTTTACATTTCTGTAACCAAACAAATTATAGATTTTTTAGTTTTTACTAGAGTTATTAGAATCGAGGTCAAGATTTTATTTTATTGTAAGCAATCCAATCCTTTGAGTTTTCATTTTCAATACGCTCACCTGTAGAATTGAACTTTGATCGGGATGTTCCCCTCCCCCGACCGGCTAGACAGTGAGCAGCGTCGGATTAGATGTGCCTTGGACATGGTAGTGACCACGTCTTTCTCTCAACGCTCTAATATTCTCTTTTTACTCTTTTACCCTTGTATAGTTTATTCCTCTAAATTCAGTGTAATTATTGTGATCATCTCAACACCTCGTCCGCCACACCATGAAGACTACCAGACTGATTGAGGGCCCTCACTTCGCAGCAACGTCTCAGCATGGAACTCTCTACTCACAATATAATTGTACAGGTATTTTTAAATGGTCCTTCGGTTGCTAAAAATTACTCACAAACATTTAACATAAACAAAAAAACATAAACAGCAAGACCTTAATCAAAGAGTCACTCTAAAATAATTTATATGACTGATTATAAAAATATAAAAATATTATGATGTAAAAAAATATAAAAGCAATCTACAATATTTAAATTTGGCCAGGTGGTGCTTTGTTTTCAGCTTTAAAAATTGCTGTGAAATCTACACAGGTAGCACCATTGTAGTGAGGGAAGACACTTCTGTCTCTTATTATGTACATAGGAATCTCACTTGACTCCTCGGAGCTCTCGTCCCTACATAATGTCTGCCACAGTTTTCAAAGATTTGCAAATGGGTTGGCATCGTGACCCTATTTTCCGCATATTTTTTGATTAATTATTTTTTTAATTGTGCTTGGTTCTCCTTTGGGTTCTAGTGACATTGTCGTACTTACTTATATATCTGTGCGTATTCAGGATCATCACCTTCTTGAGGAATTAGAGGACCCACTCGGTGGTAAAACGGGTCACGGATCTTAAAATTGTAGATCCCCTGTGGAACTTTCTCATCTTAATGAGCTTTGGAGCTGACCATGGTAAAGGCAGAACTGAATTGACGAACTTTATCCAAATAATTTCTGGATATAAGTCTTACAGTCCTATTTTCATATTGGGAGTTTCCAATAAGAACCCGAAGTTTATTGTGTTGATTTGCACAAATGAGGTGAACGAACCTTTAATTTATGGCAACAAAGAGTACAAACTTAACCGTCTCGGCCAGTCTTTTCTTGCTTAAAATTATGTAAGCCACTACAATGCAAACATTTAACGTTCATTTGTCCAATATTGAACTATCACAACGGTGGTACTACCACTATGTATGTACCCATCAAATGTTCAAATGTTGATGCAAGCGGTCATGTTCGCGTTCCCTCCAGCCACTCACAGTTCTTCGTCGTACTGGCGGCATTTGATTTTAAATTGAAATGAAATAAGAAATTTAACCAAACAACAGAAAACACTATAAAGGAATTGGAATTTTGATACACATTGTAAATTACATGATAATATGGTAATGTAACGAATAACTGCCCTGTGAATAATCACTTTTAAACATTCACTTCATCACATCGAACTGTTACTACATGATAATCCACGTGATAATCAGTAAAATACGATGTAAGGTAAATCAATTTAACCATAGACAAAAAGAATTAAATATTTATTCTTAAACACTTTGTTGTCTAGTATTGATAGGAAACGCTCCATTATGAACCAGACTTAGTTAACAGATTGAAACAAAATATAAATTCCAGCTTTGCTCTGGAAGTTTTAAGTCCTGCAGTCTGTGGTTAACACGTTGGGTGCTGATGACGGGAATTCCCGCAATTGCTTAACATTGAAATAAATGCAACTTTTATGTTCAAACATGTCGACAGCACAAATAGTGTTAACCTTAAAAACTACAGTACGGTATTTCAAACTACGTCCATATGTTATTATTTGTAAACAAAGGGAAATGAGTTTGATCAAATGTCAACAGATAGCGCCACCTTCCAAACTTTAGCCCTTAAGTGTACTTAAGTGGTGCCCTTACTAAATATTCTGAGACGTGCACATCTACATGAAAATACATTTAATTTGACACCTCAAACTTAAAAATCCATTAAGCCGTTATTGAGTTATGACTGTGAAAAGAAAACTGCTTGCGTATTAATATACAGACTGTCCCAAAAGTCCCGGACCGGTTTAATATTTTCTAAACGACAACAGATAAATCAATAAGATTTGGTACATCAACACCACACCTAAAAATCTACTTTTTTAAGGAAATATCAATTTTCTGTCGCATCATGGGGACGTCCCGCAAGGAGTCAGAAGGAAATCTTAAATAGAAGCATAGGTTGACATGTACATCAAATTAAAGGTCTTTACTAGCTGAATATAACGCTGCAAATTTGAACTCAAACGGACAACCAAGTCAAGAATTACAGTGGTTCAAAGATTCGTTTAATTTGCATTTGGGGGCACAGCCCTAGGAATCGGGAACAAATTGTTAACGTAAGCATAGGTCGATATGCACATCAAATTAAAGGTCTTCACTAGTAGATTACAATGCCGTAAATTCAAGCTCAAAAGAACGCCTGAGTAAAAAATGGCAGTCGTTCAAAGATTAAAAATGGCAGGTTCAAGAAACCTTTGAACGGTCGCCATTTTGTAACGGGTGATCCTTTTGAGGCGCTGTTTCCGGCATTGAACTCTGCTAGCTAAGCCCTTTAAACTGATGTGCATATTAACCTATGCTCCTATTTAAGATTTCCTTCCGACTCCTTGTGGGACGTCCCCATGATATGACAGAAAATTTCTAGTTCCTTTAAAAAGTAGATTTTTAAGTGTGGTGTTGATGTGCAAAATCTTTTTGATTTATCTGTTGTCGTTTAGAAAATATTAAACCGGTCCGGGACTTTTGGGACAGTCTGTATAGATGCTACAAACATTTACTGACTCTGTTGAAATGAAATATTTACCCTTTGAATTTGGGTTGGCGTAAATATTACAATGGAAAAAAGCGAGAGAGCCTGGATAATTTTATATACTAAAAAGAAAACTGAATTAACACTGTGCTGCATTTCTTAGTAATCATTGAAAGAGCCGATTTGCAAACTATGAAAACATAGGAAAGTATAACCTAAATAAAATAAAATATTTCCACCAAGGAGAAGAAATAGAAATCATGATTTTTTTTTGAAATTATAATCGTTATTATGGACAACCTAATGCGGCTATGAGTAAGGCTATTTGTAGAAAACACTAAAAAACAAGATCAGATTTTGAAAAATAATAAGATATTTACAAAAAATGTTGATTAGGCCAATATCGATCTGTTATGTACATCTTGAGTATTTCCATAATCTTTGAGTCGAATCTTAGTCATCAGCAATTATGACTGTTATTCGTTTTAAAAAAAAACGCCTCTAATAGGCCTACTTAGCAATTGCTCGAATTCGAGCAACCGGTACGCTAGTAAGCCATGAAGTTGCTGTCAAACTTGAACTTTATTGATATGCGAGGGTCAATTGCCTTGGCCATATGGATCACATAAAGTTGTGCATGTATTATGTGGATGGAATTGACCATAATTGTAGTGAATTTGGACACAAATTTTGAACATTTGCGAAACCACATCCATAACCTAGTCCGGCTTTGTTGGCAACAAATTATGCAAAAGAGATGAGATGTGATGGCACTGTTTTATTTAATTAATACCTGAATTGCCTTCAATTCACCTACTTCACCAAAACCATAGATTAAACATACTACTCTGTGGTAAAAAACTTGAACACAGCTCACATCCTCAACGTGGTGGTGTGACAACAGGACTGAATTTGACCTGGTCCGTTCTGGGTCCGCAGGCGCAGATCTCCCTCGCCGCTTCGGTTTCTTCCCGTTCTCCCGCGGCCAGCTCCCTTCTTCCTACCCTCACAGACACAGGCAAGAGAACTAATCACCTCATGGAATCGTTCACCTAATTGCTGCGAAGTGGTTTTTAAAGAACTTGACTGTGCGGCATATTTTTTCCAGATCAAGACTAAAATGTTTAATTGGTCAAAATAATATCACCCTTACAGTTGTTGGATCCATTAAATAATGATTGAAATATAGGCACTATTATTTAGTAAGTTACATAATGTATAGTGAATGGAAATTGAAAAAGCTGTTTAGTTGTACACTATTTACTATTATTTATACAAGCGTTACTTGCATTAAAACCAGCTCAGTTTGAACAAACAAATACATTTAAATATGCTATACAGATTACATGGTGCACGCTGATGTTGGACAATAACATGCATTTACCAAGTTTGTTTGTAGCACTGGTGCCTCCTCAAAGTAAAAATGTTTATACTTACATAAAGAAAATCCCAGAACAGTTTATTGCTTTTAAATCCTTAAATAGTAAAACAATTCAATTATTGTATATTTTCTCACGACGGGAGGCAGAATTTGCTATATAGCATCAGTTTGTGTAGGATTCTCTATTACTTCATAGGTCTTACTTTTTGTTACCAGAACTCAAATGGATAACCCTTTCAAAGGTGGCTCTCTTTATGCGGAGAATTTACAATACTTTACCTTTGTCAAACACATTTACATTTCAGCGAATTTCTCATATATAATCATAATAAGCTATTACCGTAGGTCTCATGGTAAGCTTTGGACCCGGAACCGATTTACTTTTTCATTTTGATGTCCCTAGAAGGCAAAAACACCACCCATTCAAATTCATATATCGTTGGTTAGCACGATAGCTTGAGCAAACATGATCCGATTTCGATGAAATTTGGTACAAACGTGTAAACTTTCTTTATTTGAACGAGTTGGCGAACCAGCATGATCGGACCACAGGAAAGGGGTTTTATGGGGTAAAAATTAGCCTAATATCTTTTAATATATATCAACGGTACGCCTAAATACCCTCATTGCAGCACATTCACATATTCAGAGAATGTATAAAGTCTTATTGGAAAATCCTACCTTAAAACAAAACTTGTCAACTTATGTCCATAAATAAGTGTTCAAAAGATTCATTCATAAGAATAACATATAGGAAGTGAATAAGCAGGTTTCCTGCCAGTAAAATCTGTCTGCCACGTATCGGCCAATATTCATTGTTGTAATTGATTTTATTAATTGCTTTAGGTAAATCAACGGCTCTTCGGTTAATCATTACCCTCTAATATCTAGCATTAAGCATGTGATATGTCATTGCCTTGTTTAACATTTTCTATCTCCCTAATAAAATAAGCTGTAACAGCCATTTTTCATCCGAACTACTTCACTGATATTTATGATTGAGGTGTAATTTTAAATTTAAGATCCAGCGCAACGAAAAATGGTATTTAAAACTATATGTTGATAAAGGGCTTCAAACGTGTGACTCTTGAGCATTTTATTTGTTTCCAGACAGTGATTTAAATTGTTGACCAACTTTCACATACAGTAACAGCTAACGGCGCATGCACGAGCGCGGATCGGAAGTGTTTATCACAAAAGATGGACCAATACGATTTTAATACTATTTAAAGGTTCTTCCAAAAGAAGAGAAACCAGATAACATTGTAATAATAACTCTTATGACGTACGTTATGGAAAATATTTTATTCATTGAATGATCAACCATATTTTGTAACTAACGCTATAGTCATTATTGCTTTTACCAAAGATTACGCAGCATTATGAAATCTTTGCTTTTACACTTATTACTCATCAAAAAAGCTAAAGAGCTAAATGCTCACAGTTTTTATTACTTCAATCTATCTATCGCAGTTATATGAATTAGCATAAGCCTTGAAAGTAACCGTCAATGTCGACGGGTTTCACCTAATTCTGTTTTGTATACTACCTTAAAATGCCTTATTTTATTTAACATTTTACTGACAGGAAACCTGCTTATTCACTTCCTATATGTTATTCTAATGAATGGATCTTTTGAACACTTATTTATGGACATAAGTTGACAAGTTTTGTTTTAAGGCAGGATTTTCCAATAAGACTTTATACATTCTCTGAATATGCGAATGTGGTGCAATGAGGGTATTTATGTGTACCGTTGATATATATTAAAAGATATTAGGCTATGCTAAAAAAATTGAATGTGGCCATAATTTGAATTTTAATAAAATTGTCTTATTTTAGGTCTTTAAAAGAAAATACTTTAAAATCCTTTCTTAGTACGCATCTAAAGCCTTAGAAACTATTTTTTTTTTTTTACTACTAGGTGATATGAAAAATTTACCATTATACACCTGACTTTTATTGATCCTCTTTCTCAATTTAACAGTTTACAACTGATTTTTGGTTTACTAAACAATTATCACTACTAGGCCTACATTGAATAAACCGGAAGCTCACCACAGTTTATTCACTTTATCCTTTAAGAAATGTGTGTAAAAACGATGGTTCAGTACAATGTAACACTTGACCATGTGAAAAGTGCGCAATATTATATTATTTTCATAACTTTTTCATCTCCTGTTTACAGTTGCAGACGATCTACTCATGTTTTCACAACCTGACTTAAAAATTGATCCGATGAGTACTACTCACATTTCACTTTTAAACTGTTATTGTATAGTGTAAAAGTTGGTCAACCATTGGAAGCACCTTCTATGAATAAATCAAAGGCTTAGGGGTCAACCTCTTGAAGCCCTAATCGAAATATCCTTTTAATTACCGTACCATTTTGTGCTGCGCTAGATCTTAAGCTTTTAAATGACACCTCAATCAATCAGTGAAGTAGGTCGGGTTGAAAAGGACTGTTACAACTTATTGAATTATAAATATGGATAATGTTATAGCAGACATCGACATATCGCATGTTTACTACTGGGTATAAGGTATAAGAAGGTAAAGCAATTTATAAAATCAATTACAACAATGAATATTGGCCGATACGCGGCAGAGCTGACCACGGGGGGTAGATTTCCGGGGGTAGATGTCTGGGGGTAGATGTCTGGGAGTAGATTTCCAGTCGCGGGCAGTTTCTCGAACATGTATAAGCCCCGCCCCTCGTGACATCAAAATGACGTAGGCGTTTTTTCATGGGGGTAAATATCCGGGGGTTGAAATCAGCTACCCGGCTACCCCCTATCCCCACGACGGACATGGACAAGGCAAAACACAGCCTGGAGGGATGCATTTTCTTTATCCTGGTTCCAGACATGCGCCAGTCGCCAAGCACAAAATGTTAACGATCGGCGATTTAGTTGTCTTGCTAATTCACCTATTAAAAAGTAGACTTATACTACACGCATGCGTTGTTTTCCGAGCAAGTGATAGTTTTCCGTCCGTAGGGAATAGAAAATATTTATTTACTTTTATGTATGCAAAAATACCGACAATGCGTAACACTACGTCACAGTGGTGGATAGTTGTACGAAAATGTAACCGTAAAATCTTAAAACAGCCAGCTTTATTACCTAAAACATACGGGATATTGCAGTGAATCTATCGACTAGTGTGACGTCATGGACGTTCAGCATGGTCTGTTTTTCGGGAAACGGACAGAGGAGCGCAAGTCGTAAAACTGTCAACCCCTTGGCCGAAGAATTCGCCGGGGGTAGGACCAAGGAGCGCAGAGGTGCTTGCGCTCCTCGGTCCGACCCGGGCAAGAAACTAATCCCCTACTTACGAGGGTTGAACAAGACAATGCTTGGGTCAACCCTGCGATTAAATCCCATTAGTCGCGCCTCACTGACTACACCATTGATTCAGGCATATTTTTCTAGTGCAACTTAATACCAAACTAATGTTGTATCAACAAACTACCAAGCCGTACACTTTCACTTTCGAATTTAAATTGCAATAGAAAAGCTGATCCTTCAGTTGAATGTTGAACCACATTTAGATTAGATTTATAAAACAGTTAATAAAAATGTATGTTATAGGCTACTTTTTGATAATTACGACTTGGATAAGGTATGTGACTTTTTTATTCATGGTGTGTATCTAAAATCAATTAATGGAAATGTACGTTTATTAAAAGTGAATAATAACTAATAAGTTTATTCACTTTTAACAACTGCTTTAAACAAAAATAATCTTTGAAAAGAAAGGGGTGTTGCACCGTTAGTTTTACCTTCGAAAATGTGTTGAACCCTATCAAAATGTGCAAATTTGCAATGGGCCCCCTCGCTATGAAATATACTATTTTTTTATGCAGGAATGGTTTGTAAAATCCTTAGTTAATATAAATCCACGAATACAATCAATTGCTTTCAGCTTGTATCCACCATTGATAAAAACAAACCTGAATTTTACATCTTAGTTTCACAGGTTAATTCAACAGACTCTTATTTATGATATATAGAACGCGCCTATCCATTGAAAGTATTTTATTTTTTCATTTATTAATAAATAGTGTGCCGTGCGCGTCACATTTTTATACATACATACTCAGCGCGCGAGCAATAATTTACTGGCCGAAGCGTATCAATAGAAAAGTAATCAAAATTATACGTATCAATACAGTATTAAGTTGATATACTTTGTAGTTTCTCAGATTCGACAGCAAGGATCGGAGTCAGAATTTGACTATTATATTTTATTATATAGTATTAAAAATTTGACGCTATCAATCCGTAACCACGGTCAAAGATAAAGAAGACAAGTATCAAGTAAGTAAGTATGTTTATTGTATTTGTGTCATAATGGTGTTTTTTATGTGGACAATTTTGTACAATTTTGAATCCCATATATTTTATTTACAAACACACAATACGGGCCATACTCAATTCATTTCACATTTCTTATGAGGTAAGCTTTACTTTTTTATGCCAACAATGATAAAATAATATCACAAAAACAAAATTTTACAAAGGAACAATTTTTAACAGTTGCATAGCCAACACTTTATATGGTAGCATACACCAAATTCCATATTATTTTAAAGTTATTGCAATTCTAATCGTCTTCCTAATTTAAACTCAATTTGTATTACTTTCT